TATCCCATTTCGAAGTTTAGTATGATTTGTGTGGTTTATTCTATGAATTATTTTTCTAGATACACTTTTGATCTTTCAATTTCAAATTCACTGATTAAAGTATGTTGAATATATTTTATTTTGTTAACAGTATTATTTATTTTCTAATTATACACCTGTTTGCAGTTGAGAATCTTAGTAAGAGAGTAAATGCATTTTAAATTGAAATCAAGACCACCATTAGAAACCTGGAGACGCCGCAGAGCCATTTTGTCCTGATATGGGACTCTTCAGCAGTGTGTATCCACGATTCCTGCTACTTCGAACGTGATTCGAACCTCGGACCTTTAGTCTTGCATGCAAAAGCCATCCCACGGTTCGTTCATGATTTCAAAGTGAAATTAACATCTCCACAATACTCTAATGCGAAATCAGAATAATGTGCTCATTAGTGAATAGCTTCATGAGGTTCTCGGAGTTCTAGTGATTGAACGTGATCAATGGAGTTCAACCCTGCCGGGCGTAGGCAGTAACTACTGAAGACAATAAGTGAGGTTTAGAAAACTCCTAAAATTGATCAGAGTTACACATTAACACCTTCGGATACCGGTGGTCCAGAGGTTAAGCGTTCGCGCTCATGATCGAAAGTCCCGGGTTCGAATCCTGCTGCAGCAGGAGTCGTGGACGTGCACTACTGATGAGTCCCAAATCGGGGTGAAACGGCGATCCAAGGCTTCCAGCCTTCTAATAGCGGTCTAAAAACGGTTCACTCATGATTTCAAGGTAAAACTGCCATCTCTATAATACCTTAATGTAAATTTATTTTATAAACCTTCTTTTAAGCTAGACTGTCAAAACTTTAGAAAATACCCTTGTGTAATGTAGCAAATGCCCTCACTTGGTACCCTCAAGGCAAAAGGAAAACAGGAAAGCCAAGGAACACATTACGCCAAGAAATAGAGGAAGACATGAGAAGAATGAACAAAAATTGGACAGAACTGGAAAGGGAAGCCCAGGACAGAGTTGGTTGGAGAAAACTGGTGGGCGGCCTATGCTCCATTAGGGGTAACAGGCGTAAGTAAGTAAGTACGTAATGTAGCAAATAAAATGACTGGCGTTAATTCGAATGCAGTACACTGAATGAGTATCATTATAAACTTGTTAGTATCAAGTTTTTCTCTTTACAAAGAGAAACAAAATTGTCCTGACACGTCACAATATTTCTTCAGTGTATTTCATTGTAATTGAATAACTTGGTCAAATTCACCGAAGGTCCTGGGTTCGAATCCTGCGGGGTGCAGGAGTCGTGGATGCGCACTGCTGGAGAGTCCCATACCAGGACAAAACGGCCGTCCATTGCTCTCAGGTTTCTAATGGTGGTCTAACATTGATCGATTCATGGTTTCAAAAAATGTGTACATTTTTATATAATAAATCTATTTTGATTGAATTTCGATTTTTCTTCCTAACAACCTTCCAATTTGTTAATCGGTTGACAATAATTTATGCCGTTAAAAGTCAATGCATCTTCATTCTTCCTTGCTTTATCTTAAAAAGAAAAACAACAAACAAACTGTTTTACACACTTACCGAAGAAAATTCTAACAAATTATTCATTAAATAATTATTAGTTACAAAGAAAATAAAACAATTATTCAATTATTATTATTATTATTTTATTCTTAAATTTATAAATCACAACATGAAAAAAAATAATGATCTTATTTTAACTGCATAAAAAAAATCTTACTTATTTAATAAAATTAAATTGTTTATTTATTATAACCATCTATTATAAACATAATACTACTCATTAAAACAATAATTCATCATTAGAATAAATCTGCCTTTTTATTGTTCAATAATAAATATATATATGTATATATGTATACATTGAATTTTTCGCGCACATTACAAATTTCTTTCAATTAGACTTTAAATTAACTCGTATTCCATAATAGCAAACATAATAAATCATTTTCCCTAGAAATTTATTGAATCTTAAAGGTAAAACAAAAAACCAGAACATACATGTGATGAAGTGTTGTTAACAGGAACGGCAAAGAAAATAAGAAGAACACACACACACACACGCATACATACATAGTCAGTCACTTTCATTCTTGTGAATACATCTTAATAAAAATGTATGATTAGGGTTGTAAACAATGAATGCTGATCAATAGATTCTATTCAACTCCCTGTAATTAGTTAATTCTATAATCTTAACTAGAAAAAGAAACTGTAATGACATGTGAATTAATCGGTGTATAATTAATTGTTGATGTGTTAAATTAGGAAAGTAAGAGTGTTTTTACTTTTCAATTTGGAATTATTGTTCAAAGAGTTCTACCAGGGTAGAATTCATGTTCCATAACATAAAACCTACTATTAAGATGATAAACCTAAAAATTCATAGGCCCAGAATTATGCATAGTATTCTGTTCTAGTGTACGGTAATATTGTTTTGAAATCCCCTTACGACGAGAAAAGGATAACTGATGCTTATAGTGTAATGTCTTAAGCATTTTAGTATGGAAGTCTTCAGCGGTGTGAATCCATAACCCACGGGAATCGAATCCTGTACCTGAGATCCCGCGAGTGAACGCTTAACTTCTAGACCACTGAGCCAGCTTTCAGAGACAGTAATGTCTAACTTTGATTGATCTAAGGTTTTGAACAACGTCGACCGTTGTCTGTGGTAGTTACTGTCAGCACCCGACAGGGCTGAGTTCCATTGGTCACGTCTTCTTACTAGAACTCCGAGAATTTCCTCACGAAGTTAGCCGCTAGTGAGCACATTGTGTGCTATTCATTATAGTGTTATGGAGATTGTTGTTTCCCATTGAAGTGGGATTGCGCGAAATCCTTAGATCGATCAAAGTTAGACATTACCATCATTGGATGCTGGCTCATTAGTCTAGAGGTTAAGCGTTCGCGCACGAGACCGAAGGTCCGATTTGCATGAGCAAGAGTCGTGAGTACGATACCAGAAAGAAACGGCTATCCAGTGCTTCTAGGTTTTTAATGGTGGTCTAACAATGATGGACTCATAATTTCAATGGAAAGCAACAATCTGCATAACACTATGATAAACAGTCAATTTAGCTCATTTTAAATTAGACTTTTTCAGTTTTTCAGCTACTTGATTGAAACAATTACATTTTTCGATGTAACTGAATTATGAATTGTTCATTTGCAATATTTCTATCTTTCTAGTTTGTTTATAAATAACCTTAGTATTGTCAATTCAACACTTCATATACCTAGTTTAAAATTAGGTCAGTTTACCGAATTCTTTTAACTTAGTTATCATTAACCACTGGGATTTCATTGTTGTTTCTTTGTGTAAACTTAGCTACAATATAATGCTTCGATTCATATAATCAAATAATCAAGTCTTAGGTTGATAAACATTTAATCAAAGGATAAAGTGTTATACGCCTCTATAAGTTACTCTCTATTATACTACTATATATATCCATTTTACAACTGAATAAAATTCATCAAAAGTTATGATATTTATCTCATTAGGAAAGAGGTTTATAAGGTTGATTATTCGATAGTCGAAAACCTGTAATCAGTTAGAGCAATTTTTTGGTAAATATTTCATACAATCAAGTACATCTATCTTTACTGTTTCATTCAAATGAAGATTTGATTGTCATTAAAACTAATTGTAATGTAACATTTTGAATTGGTGACAAATAGACTAGTTTAAGTCAGTTAGTAAGTGTTCGGTTGAAACAAGGAATTCTTAGTCCAAAAAATACTTTAAGAATCACGTAAAACTTTCTTTTTGAAAGATACAGTTCATATATAATGATCGAAAATATGTATTATACGAAAATAGTATATAATGGTCAACAATGGTGATTTCCGATCCCTTCCAAGATAACGGTTCAGTTTTTATTGCATAATACATTTGAAAAATGCCGCATTGTAGAACATTTGCGTGATTCGTTATCTTGATGATTTTCAGTGAATTAACGCAGCATCATGCTATGATATATATTAGTTGGTCAAAATGAATAGGAAATGAGAGTTATTGTGACACTTTGGCATTCACGAAATAGGCGGTTTTAAAACTAGAAACGATCGATATTTTTTGCCTTGTACTTAAGATCAGAATAAGTATTGTTTGAAGTAAAAATTAACAATACTTTTCTTCTAATAAGAGTTATGGAGATTAGTGTTTTTACTCATTGAAATAATCAATCAATCATTGTTAGACCTTCATTAGAAACCTGAAAGAACTGGCCAGCCGTTTCGTCTTGGTATGGCCCTCATCAGCAGTGCTCATCCACAACTCCAGACATCCGAAATATCCGAACACAGGACCTTCGGTTTTACGCACGAACACCTTAACTCTGGACCAATGGACCGGCATCTGACAATGTTAATGTCCAACTTTGATCAATCCAAGTATTTTGCGCAACCTCATACACTATCTTCGGTAGTTACTGCCTACACTCGACAGGACTGAATTTCATTGGTCACGTCTTCTCACTAGAACTCCGAGAATTTTCTCACAAAGCTAGTCGCTAACGAGCATATTGTACAAATTTTTTTCATTTGGAGTTATGGAGATTAGTGTTTTTTTACACATTGACAATAATACTTTGGCCAAACTCTTATTGCTGCACAAACACTATACTCATAACTCATGTACTACTTATTTGTCTTGTCTAAGCACTAACAATGCAAACGGAAGAAAGAACAGAATTGTATACAAACACATATATTTTTTATTTATTTGAATATTTATGTGAAATAATGTTTTGAATATCAAATATTTTTTTCTTGATAAAATACAGATGAAGATTTCAAAAATAAAATTCAACATTTATGTGGTAAACATTAACAATAGACTATTACAACATTGAGTAGTATAGGTAGTTTTATTGCACAAAAATTCTTGGGATACATTAAAATTAAAATCAAAACTAAGATTATCATTTTAAACATCTATCAACTGTTGACCAATGTTCATTTTTCAATGACACTCTTATTGTTATTATATGATCACCATTGAAAATGTCCAATTTATTGTTGTTGAAAATTATTAATGTGTTGTACAATAATGACTTAAAAACTAATTTCAATAAAATCATTATGACTATCATAGTATCACTAATTGAGAATACAATCAAAAAAAATTGAAGGCACATTGAATAAAACTAAACAGATAAACAAGTGAGCATTTTGAATAACATGTAAAAAAACATGGCGGACGGAACACATTGGTGACTACAACTTTGTCAATGTTCAATGATCAAGTATTCACTGATATATATATATATTTAATGATCAAATGCATGTATGTAACATTAAAAGGGAAAAAAAAACAATATATCTAATCTTCAATTAAACCAACTTTATAAGCAAATCGTCGAAATTTAGTTTTCACTTCTTCTTGCATTAAATTAAATGACATTGCAACCATAGATAAACCAAATAACAAGTATAAACAACAAAATACTGGTTTAGTTGAATTCTCATGCCATTTATCTGTTTGTATACCGGGTACAAAATCACCAAATCCAATGGTCGATAGCGTGATAAATACAAAATAACCAGATTGGAGTAAATTCCAATTTTCCCATTTCGCGAATATAATTGCACCAACAATCATATAAATAAAAAATACCAATAATGTTAACCACATTGGTACATGTACTACATCGCTACGTTGGTCTTTTTGTATACTTGATGAAATGATCGACTGTGAACTAGTCAATGTATGCAGAATCGACTGGGCGCGTTTTTCAAATCTTGCCGTGTGATAATCATACACGTGCAGTCGATTAATGGATTCTTTCGATGTGTATTTATTAATTTGATCAGGATAATTATTGATCATTGAAATTTCTGTGTTTTCTTCCACTGTCGGTGGTATTTTATTTTTACGTATAGGCAATAATTTTCGTTTTGGTAATTGTTGATCTTTCTGTATTGGTAATATTAATGGAGAATGTTGTTTGGATAATTTTTTTTTCACACGATGTTGATGATATTTAAAACATGAATTTGAATAAATAATTCGAACTGTATTAGCTAAAAAACCGCCAAGATTAGCTAAGCATAAAAGTACTAATGGTATACCGAATAAAGCATAAACTACAGTGGTTGCACGTCCAAGATCTGTTTTCGGCACAATATGTCCATAACCTAAAATATATATGTATATGAAGAAAAAGCGAATTACATGTTAATTTTTCAGAATATTTTGTTTGTTCTTTTTTAAAAAGGGAAAAACTAATTTGATGTCTTAAAAGACAAGTAAGAAAATACGGGTTTTTTTTGGTGAAATGCTTTATTTCATACTGTGTATGACGAACAATCATTGTGAAATCATGTCATACATACTAAACAGTTGTTTCGTTCTGATATAAGACACCTGAACAGTTGACATTCAAAGCATAGTTTGGGAATTGAACGTAGGACATTCAGGTATCACAGTAAAAGCTCAGAATTTACAACACTTCATAATATTGTACAACCATCATTCAAAATATTGGCATGTAAATGAATCAAACTCAACATGACTGAACTCTACTAGTCATAGCATCTCAATGGAACTCCATTAAAACATTGTTATTAGTATCGAAGTGTCTAAAGTGCTTAGTTTATTTCACGGATTAATCTAACAGCTTTATAATGATGATCATTTATTTTTAAATATTACTAAAATGTAGACTATTCAACTAGTTCAAAAATTGTCTAGGATATTCCTAGACTCACTTATATGATTCATTTAACGAAATAAAAAGATAGTTTATGTCAATTATCAACTACATTTATAACTGTTATTTGTTATTGGCTGACATCGTATAAAAGTAAGTAATGTCATGATGACAAATTGATAATTTTGGACAATGGAAATGTAGAACATTCTGAGAATCAAATAACCATTCAGTAGATTGATCAAGTTTAATCAGCTCGTAAATCGTTTGGTAGTGTTTCAAGAAACTACATGTGACTGTGTCAGTGAGATTTTAAAATTTTTTTCGGCTAAATATTTCTACACCTTTGATTAATTTGAGTATGTTCAACGTAATAATTTTATTCTATTAAACAGTTAGCAAATTAAGTAAACCTTCATTATTGAACGTCAATTAATAAACAATACTTTCATGGTAGTTTTGATGATCGTTCCTAAGGTACAAATTAAAATTTACTAAGTACCCTGTGTTGATTAGACTTTGAACTGTTCTTTATATAATCTTAAATTACATAGTTGTAATACTGTCACGAGTTGGTAGTTATTAGATAGATTTCGCAAAGTTGATTTGTGAAGTCTAACAAGTATCTCTAGCAAGGGAGAGATGGCTCCAAAAAAAAACAAATCATCCTAAAGCATTCACATAAGGTAGAGGTATAAAGTGTTAGTTACTGTCTGAATAGATTTTATGGAACATGAGACGATTGGTAAGCACTAAGAAAGTTTCAAAATTCAACAAATTATCTAACTGTCATCGATTTTACGTCCTATTAGCAAAATCTAACTGTACTTCACTG